AAAAAAAGTACATGCTTAGTTCACCTTCTAACTACTGAGCTTTAAAAATATTTTTATTCTATACTTTGCATCCTTGATATAATAGATTAGAGAAAATATTTAGATTTTGGTAGTTGATGATATATCTATATTCTGATTCTTATTGGAAAAATTGATAGCTAATTTCTCTATTTTAGTTGTCAAAACGTTTAATGATGATCATGACAAGATACGTTATAACTAGTTAGAGCTTAAATATTTTTCAAATATGAAACAACAAGTGGAGATAGATAAGTAAATATACACACTATTATTGTTTTGTTAAATATGTCAATTTTTTTTAATACATAAATATATGGGGGTGGGGATTCAAACTTGAAAATCACGACTTTTTAGTCACAGATAGATGCTTTAACTAGTTGAATTAAACTCAAGTTCGTTGATAAAATATATCAACTTGAATGTAGTTTAAACATGACTTTTTTTAGATATAAGTTCAAGGACTTATACATCATGTAAAGTTAATGGGCTAAATTGATAATTTAATATAATTTTTAAAAGTAATTTAAAAGAGTTAAATTTATAATTGAATAAAAAAACAATTTTTTTTATTTAAAAAAAATAATGTACTTTTTAAAATCATTTGAAGGCTTAAAAAATCCTTGATACTACAATTAGTTAAACGATTCATCAAGCAACAAGCGAAAAACTTTATCAAGTTACAAGTCGAAGACTCACATCAAGCTACAAACAGAAGACTTTATCAAACTACAAGCCGAAGAATTTCTCGAGTTACTGGTTGAATACTTCATCAAGCTATAAGTCAAAACCTTAAAGATATTCAACAATCTCAAAGCCAAAAGTTCACAAAATCTTCAACAAACTAGAAGTCGAAGGTACCAATCATCTTCATACGAGAACAAGTTTTTCAATCCTTATATCACGTTTATGCCCGAAAGAAATCATATACACTAGAGATTGTATAAGTTATATATAAATACAAATCAAATTCTCTTCCCTCGTAATTTCCTTGCCAACCATTACTTTTTTTCAATAGTGCGTGTAACTATCTTGTTTTAGACTTATTTCTTTTATTTACATTTTCTCTAAAATTCTTTGGAGAGCTCCTCTATTTTTGTAATTAAAAAAAAATAGATTATTGATGATTTTACCCCATTTATTTTTAGCATAGATTTTTTTTTTAGTACAATTATTTTTAGCATAGATGATAGAAGTAGAAGTAGAACCACGTATGAAATCTTGTCGGAGGACAGATTCTTGAATTTTCCTGTTTTGGTGGGAAATCGGAATTCAGAAATAGGGTTTTTGATCATTTCGGGTGAAACTTTTGTGGCAATTCATGGTCAAAGCTCTCCACGGATAACATGGAAATGGATTCCTTCCCTCGCCTCTCACTTCCTCGTCCATCCATCTCCATTTTTCATCCATCCACCATTCCAGTTCCACTCCATGGCAATTCTCCATTCCCGTCTGGAACCCTAATTCGTCCCCAAATTTCCCAATTTAAGAAATTGCCATGGATTCGGGGGCGAACGGCGGCCATCTTCGGCCGCCGGATTTGGGCATGGAAGACCAGACGGAAGTGGGCATTCCATTTGTCTGTCAAGCCACCACTCATATCAACTCCAGAGGCCTTTGGTTGGGAGACGATCCTCTTTCCTTTTCCCTTCCTCTCCTCTTGTTGCAGCTTTCTCTCGCCTCCACTTTGACCAGCTCCCTCTCCCTCATTCTCAAGCGCTGTGCTCAGCCCTCTTTTGTTTCTCACCTTCTCGTAAGCCTCTGTATCCTTCTTTGTTTATTTAATGTTTGCTGTTTTTAATTTTGATGATTGTTCGATGTTGACAATTGTATGTGTGCTTATGTAGTTTCTTATGTTGAATGATGGTATCATAGGGGAAACTTTGTTTAATGATCTAAATGGAGATTGGATTGGAGGGTAGCTTCAAAAGGGTTGTTTTTAATCTTTGTACATTCAGATTAAGTGATTGGAAAGCGTTTTGATGGTCCTCATAACTTCCATGATTTCATCGTTTCTTACTATCAGGATCTGCTTTCTTTATTTCCTTGACTGTGAGTATCTACATAATTTACAACATTCAACACATATAGTTGCACACAAAAGGCAGATCCACCGTGGCTCGATACCTGAATTGTTGGTTATCCGGGAGTTGTTTAGTCTTTGGAGGAAAACTGTGCTTTATAACTCTGCCAGATTTTATAGTCGGCAAACTATTTGTTTTTTTGTTTGCAGAGGCAAATAATTTATGTTTGACTTGGAACTTTATGAGATATTACGTGATAATGCAGCTAAATGGTTTCATTTTCACCAGGCTGGGATAATTTTGGGACCTTCAGTTCTTGGTTGCTACCCAGAATTAGCAACCAGAGTTTTCCCAACCAGTGGAATAAACGTACTTGAAACTTTCTCTGCATTCGGTTTCATGCTTTTTATCTTCCTAATTGGGGTGAAGAAGGATCCAACCATCATAGTGAAATCTGGTAAAAGGGCATTGGCTATAGGAATTTTAAGCTTCGTTCTTCCTAATGCACTTGCCAGATTTACTACCTTTGTTCTCAAGCATTTTCTCTCATTGGACAAAGAGGTTTCTAATGTGCTACCATATGTGGTGATGCTACTGTCCATGACTTCTTTTCCTGTGGTCGCTTGCTTTCTCGACGAGCTCGAGATTCTCAACTCAGAGATTGGTCGTCTTGCTTGTTCTTCTTCTTTAGTGTGTGATATATGCTATTGGTTTGTCATACTTTTGGAGTATGCCCTAAATTCGGTTGAGCAAATGTCACTAAAAACTTTACTAGGTTCCTTTGTCTCATTTGCTCTTCTTATATCCTTTATTGTATTTGGAATACGTCCAGGAGCTCTCTGGGTAGTTCAAAATACCCCAGAAGGTAAACCAGTGAAGGAATTTTATATACTTGCAGTTTATGTAGCACTGCTGGTTTGTGGATTTTGGGGTGAGGCTACTGGTTTAAACGCTTTTGCCACTTCATATTTTCTGGGTTTGGTCATTCCAGATGGTCCACCCTTAGGAGCTGCATTATCTGAGAGGTTTGATTGCTTCGTATCGGTATTGCTCATGCCGATGTTCTTCACCATTTGCGGATTGAGTTCAAATGTTTTTTCCATACAGAAGTTGCAGAATGTGGGTGTAATTCAGCTGGTTCTTTTTGCGACACTTCTTGGAAAGATTGTAGGGGCCGTACTGCCTCCTCTTCTCTGTAGGGTGCCGTTTCGAGATGCCCTTGCTCTAGGTCTCATCATGAACTGCAAAGGCACTATCGAACTTGCAATGTTGGTTATTTTGAAATTAAAAAATGTAAGTCAACTTCCCCATTGTTCAAAATTATATTATCAGAAAGGATGCTTACCATTATAAGAGTTTATTAAATTATGACAAAACCCGAACTAAATGGGCTGTTGCTCTTTTCTGCTTATTCAGTAGATATAATTACACTGAATGCAGGTCATGAACGATGAATGCTTCACCATTATGATTCTCTCTGTGGTCCTTGAAACAGGATTTATCTCACCTCTTATCAAGGCCATATATAAACCTTCAAGTAGGTTCGTTGCTTACAAACGGAGGACTCTCTTGCATCATAGAAACGACGAAGAACTTCGAATACTAGCTTGCATCCATGGATTAGAGAATGCCCCTCCAATTTTGGATCTCCTGCTGGCATCCAATCCGACCCGTCATAGCCCCATTAATTTGGTTGTCCTACACCTTAGTAAGCTTGCAGGTCGATCTTCTCCGCTTCTAATTGCTCAAGAGCCTCATGAAATCTCTTTTTCGTATAAAACCCAGTCCGAACAGATATTCAGTGCTTTTAGAAAGCTTGAAAAACATTTCGATGGCCACATGGTTGTTAATTGCTTCAAAGGTATTTCACCATACTCTACGATGTACAATGATGTATGCTCACTGGCAGTCGAGAAGAGAACAACCTTTATTGTCATCCCTTTCCACAGGCAACGGATGGTTGGAGAAGGGTTAAAATCGTCTCATGCTATAAGACAACTCAACAAGAATGTGCTTGACAAGGCTCCTTGCACTGTCGGAGTATTAATTGATAATAGAAACCACAGGTCTTCCCGCAAATTTTCACATCTAGCATTCCGTCGAGTGGTAGTGCTCTTTTTCGGTGGTGCCGATGATCGAGAAGCATTAGCATTTGCGGGAAGAATGTCGGAGCAAGATAGAATACTAGTCACTCTGTTCCATTTTTCATCTTCAAAAGAGATAGTTGGGAGTACAGCCAGAAGCAAGATGCTTGATTCAAAGTTCTTGAGTGAATTCAAGCTCAAATCCGCTCAAAATAACCGAGTATCTTGCCAGGACAAGGTGGTCATGGATAGTGAGGCTCTTATTTCTGTTCTCAAGTCTCTCGAAAATGATTATGACCTCGTAATAGTCGGGAGGCGACATGCAGAATCATGGCTAATGACTGATGTTAGGAAATGGAACAAACGGCAGGGAGATTTGGGGGCTGTAGGAGATGTTCTAGCTTCTTTCGATCATGAGAGCGGAGCATCTATACTTGTTGTGCAGCAGCAGACAAGGTTATGGGGACTGCGTGATCCCGAGGAGTCGACGCATCTGGGAAGAGTGAAAATATAGGCATTCTTTTAGGATATTTAACATCATCTGCTGTGATGTCCGACTTATCTTGTACTATACAGATTATCCATCCATCAATATAGTTCAAAAGTTTTACCTCTACTTTTGTTTCCAATTTACTTTACTCCCCTCCCCTCTATATGGAAACATTTTTTGCAGAGAAGATATTGAATCAGATACCGAAAGATGTTGCTGATCAACATTACTCTCTCAAGAAAAACACCATCCCTTTGCTAGCAAGATCAGATTCCTAAATCGACAACCGACAACAGAGTGATCGTATAGGTCAAATGCTCACTCTTCAACAATGTAAGTACTTCAGTATCGTTTTCTTCCGATATCATGTTAATGAGCTTTATTCATCTACTTGAACAGAATTAGCATTCCTTTACATGTAAGGTTAAAGCAGGCCATGATATTGAATGTTCTTTCTTATTTGATTGGTATTTGGTTCATGAATATGGATAAAGTTGTAATTTTGTTGCTTTGGAAAGTGCACCATGGTTGAAATTGTGTTGAAGTTGTAAGAACTGGGGAAGGGAAGGGCATGTCTTCAATCTGGGGAGAGTCTCCCAATTTCTCCGGGAATTGAAAACTGAATCCATGAACTCAGATCCTCTTTCTCCTCATCAATGCCTCTCTTTTTAACTCTTTTTTTCTCTCTCTTTCTCTTTAATATATAAATTTGCACTCTCCAATTCCTAAACATTGCATGTGCACTCTTTCCTATCATCCATACTTGTAAACATTAAACTTCTGCAGCACTCACATGCATCTATACTTCAGATTTAGCTCACAGTTTAGGCTCATGCATCTGAAGTTTAGAAGTCGAGCTTTGAACTTCTGTTTCGTTTAGTTTTCTTCTTGTTATTTTTTGGGAATATATCATCTAGAGGTGGAGATTCGAACTTACAGTCTCTTAAGGAGGAGGTATATATAGATATCTTAGCCGTTGAACTATGTTTGTGTTAGCTATAGGTTTACTTATTCTAGACGTTAAGTTTGTTAATCTTATGGGTTCAATAAAACCATATTATGAAAATCAAACTAATGTCGCATATTAGCTTTCGCTGATCATACAAACTGTAATCTTATAATCCATTATTTTGCATATGTCAAACAAATTATACAAGCTTAAGCATCCCAACCTGAGGCTTATTAAAATTTGTCGAGAGATATTTTTACCTCTTCGATCAAAGTTGATTGACACAATCAAGCTCTCTTAATCAAACTACTCGAGCTTCTAAACAAAAATAAAAGTTTATAACAATAGAACAATGATTGTGATAGGTTATTTGAATCAAGTCAATAAATCTCCCTTCATTAAGGAATCAATTTCCATTTTCATTATTAACATTTAACGATTTGTCAAACAAATAAGATAACACATTGATCAAGGAAAATCACTTGGTATAATAACTTGAGAAGCAAATCATTACAAAAATAATAATAACCAAATAGGGATTTAGAATATATAGTTAATTAAGTGAGGTTTGTAGTCCAAGACAAGATTAATTAAATTATAAATATGTACATTATTGTAATGTGTGAAAGTGGAGTTTTTTATGGGAGGAGTCGAGAATTGTATAATTTTTAATATGAGCTTAGGAAAAAAAAGGGGGAATCCATGTGAATGTGGGAAGACCAAGTTATAATATGCATATTTTATATATATTTTGGGAAGATTTGCCAGCTGGTTTTGCAGCTTATAATAGAGCTTTAATGTGCCAATATTTCTTTTTAAAAAAATAATATTATACTATATAGTAAATTAATTAAGAGTTTGGTGCTTTTGTTCTTCATCAAACATCCAGGATAACTAATCTTACTTTTTAAAATCTAGATATTTAAATGCAAAGTGAGATGAAAAGAATCAAATATCTTGGTAACTACAATTAATTAAGTACAGTAAATTGCTCTGATTTCGAAACTACTAATACTTAATCTTTCACTATTTCGTTACTTTTTAACAAAATCACGAAACACACCCTTTCTTTTTCTCCTTTTGACAATATGAAACACACGGATTTGAAACCAACATTTAAAATCACTGATAGTCATCTTAAATATAACTTAACTGGTAAATTTACTTATTTTAGACTAAAAAATCTGGTAATGATATTGAGGTTATTTATTTATTTATTATTATTATTTTTGAGTATGATAATAGTATTGAAGTTAACTATGGAGTGAATCATTAAATTCGATTTAAGAAACTAATTTTGTTAATGGTATTGAACTTAACTATGAGGTGAATCGCTTCCTTTTTTATTTATATTATAAGTTGATCATTAATTTAAACAAAATATTTTTTTTTCCTTAATATTTGGATAATTTTCTTCAATTTAGTCCCTATTATTTCAATTTTTTTTTTCTCTTTAGACCCATTTTTTTCCCTCTAAATTTCTACCAATTCATTAATTCATTATATCGGAAGTTTATCATTGACTCATTTTAATATTTTACCTAGGAATTAAGAAACCTCCCAAAAATTATGCCAAACCATTAGTTCATGAACTTATATTTGAATAAAGTCTAGGATTTTTTTTTAACATAATAAATGAAAAACTAATTCTAACGAAGAGGGGCTTGCTTTTGATTTGTATATATAATATATGTGAGTGGGAAGATTAAACAGTAGTAGGAAAAATAATTTAATTGATGGCTGGTCCATCAGCTAGCTAGCTCCATGATTGAATGAAAATTATTTATTTATTATTTTGAAAGCAATTATTTATTTACTATTGGGTGGAAATTAGAAACCAAAATGCATGTGAAATTCAAAAGAATGATGCCAATCATTGAATTATTGGATCTGACCTTCCTCACAAAACCACATCTCCATTGCCCTAATTTTTTTTCTTTCTTCTCCTTAATGCAAATTTTAGGCTAAATATGTCACCCAATATTTGCACTACTTTTTAATTTTATTATTACAATGTAATATGACTTAAAAATATCCCATATTTTAATTCGAATATGGTATTATAATTGTGAAGATAAAGATTCAAACTTACCAAATGTATTATTTAAAAATTTAATCTCGGGTGTTATCCAAATGTTCGAGTGAAGTTTTTTAGAACTAAAGATGCAAATGAAAAAAATCTTTACCATAATTATTTTAGAGATACACCAAAAATAATATTGAGAAAGCAATAAGAAATTATTAAAATTCTCCTCCTTCCAAACATGAAACCAAAACAGAGTGGCTGAAAAGAGAGGGAAATAAAAACTATATATTTACTTTACAACTTGACTGTAAATACAATTCCCCAAACGTTTCTGTGAATTTCTCATGGCTTCCATCAAATTTCCCATGAGAAAAAAAATCCAACAT